TGAAGCACTAGCCATCTCTTGGTTAGATAGGGCTTTCCTTACTTCACAGTTGTGGCCATTCACAGTATGGTATTTTTGAATGACAATCTTGTCTAGAGAGTCATGGTCATCAAATGTTACAAAAGCAAAACCTCTCTTTTTGCCACTGCCTCAGTCAGTCATGATCTCGATCACTTCAATTTTCCCATACTGTTCAAAATAATCTCTTAGATGATGTTCTTCAGTGTCTTCTTTAATGCCACCAACAAAAATCTTTTTCACAGTTAAGTGGGCACCAGGTCTTTGAGAATCTTCTCTTGAGACAGCCCTCTTTGGTTCCACAACTCTTCCATCCACCTTGTGTGGCCTTGTGTTCATGGCTGCATCCACCTCCTCCACAGTGGCGTACTTAACAAACCCAAAGCCTCTGGAGTGCTTGGTGTTTGGATTTCTCATTATCACACAGTCCGTAAGCGTTCCCCATTGCTCAAAATGGCTCCTCAGACTCTCATCGGTTGTTTCAAAGCTCAAACCTCCGATGAAGAGCTTCCGCAGCTGTTCAGGCTCTTTGGGAGACTCTGACTTAGACATGACAGCGGTGGGAGGGGAGACTTTTAACGATGCTTACTCTGCGGCGTCCACAGGCAGAAAAGCTCTTTTTTTTTTTTTTTTAAAGATTTTATTTATTTATTTGACAGAGAGAGACACAGCAAAAGAGGGAACACAAGCAGGGGGAGTGGGAGAGGGAGAAGCAGGCTCCCCACCGAGCAGGGAGCCCGACGTGGGGCTTGATCCCAGTACCCTGGGATCATGGCCTGAACCAAAGGCGGACACTTAATGACTGAGCCACCCAGGCGCCCCTTGATTCTGATTTCTTTTACTATCCTCCAATGCCTGGCTACAACTCCTCAAACTAACACTTTGATTTTTCTCCCACCTTTCTGACTTAGAATCATTTGAGAATTAAAACTGTCCTTTTCCCTGAAGCTCTGAAAACTGAAAAAAATAAATGATGTAAAGAAATCACCACAATAGCTCACGAATAGACAAAATCTTTGTGCCTGATTGTTTAGTGGGTCACTGAAGGATCATCAGAGACATTTGAGCTACAAACTAGGATGAGGAGTAGGTGACATTATAGACGGATTTCCCAAGATTTGGGACCAGGCTTGTATTTCTACTCTTTTTTTTTTTTTAAATTGTGATGTTAGAAGATAGTAAATCTACTTGTTTGCTTTCACCTCCCCCTTTACTATGTCCTGATAAAATATCATGGTTACTTGCAGATTTAACTAATATAACTTTGAATATTACCAGAGTACTTTATTATGATGAGAACTTAGATGAAATATTTATGACCTTTTGGACTTACTCTAATGTTCCTGTAGCTACACTGGTGCTTATAAATTACCTCTATTAGGAAAAGCCTTTCAAGAAGTGCTACATAACTCAGATTTAACCTACAGTATATATAATACTCAACAGATTGACCATTGTGTCTCTATAAACTTAGATGATAATATATGAAGAAAGGTCCCCAGGACCTTTGTTGGACAAATTTAATTGTCCAACATGCCAAATTATCCAGTGTACTCACAAACCATGCTTTTGTAGATGGAGCGGCCCAAGACAAAATAAGAAAAAACAATGGGCATCTATCAAAGATGCTACTTTAAGAGGGACTTGGTGGATTCAGCCATCTCCTAAATCTAACTTTGCCATTCATCCTAGAAGATTCTGAGGTAACTACGGGTCAATGGCCTTCTTTATTAACCGCAGAAACCCAAAATGTACAGCCTTCCTAATCTGTGGAAAAATCATTAAAGACCCTTGTAACTTATATAAATGTTCAATTACTGCCTTGGTATCCAAACTTATGGCTAACTAGACTTATTTCAGTGTCATAATGGGAATAGAAACTATTATAAATACCACCAAAGTTCTTGCCATTGGAAGAAGATGGGCCTTAATAGGCAGTGATTCTTACTGGATTCCTGTGTCTTCTGATATCTGTGAATTCAGGAAAAATATATGGTTAGGCCCTAAACAACAATGGAGCCCTGAATTCACTCCAACTTGGCCTGTAATGGCTATGCCTGTACAAACTAACATAAGGTATATAGGAAAGAAGATGTTGTTGGGAAGGTTTTCAAAACACCTCTGCAGGGGCGCCCGGGTGGCTCAGTTGGTTAAGTGTCTGCCTTCAGCTCAGGTCATGATCTCAAGGTCCTGGGATTGAGACCTGTGTTGGGCTCCCTGCTCAGTGGGGAGTCTGCTTCTCCCTCTCCCTCTGCCCCTTGCCCTCCCCCTGCTTGTGCTCACTCTCTCACTCTTTCTCTCTCTCTCACTCAAATAAATAAATTCTTTAAAAAAAAAACCCACCTCTGTAATACTCGATTTATTTTGTAACAAGAGTACTTTTCATCCTAACTCTACTCCTATATGGTGTAATACTGGCTTTCTATCTCAAAAAGAATTGCCTGATTCTAACAAAAATCATACTAATATTGATATTGATGACCAAATGTTTTGGGAGATAGAATTACAACCACCACAAGATGTAATATCTATGGAAACTAACTGGCCAGAGAAATTGTTACATATAATAACAGAAAATTTGGGCGCCTGGGTGGCTCAGTTGGTTAAGTGACTACCTTCGGCTCAGGTCATGATCCTGGAGTCCCGGGATCAAGTCCCGCATTGGGCTCCCTGCTCAGCAGGGAGTCTGCTTCTCCCTCTGACCCTCCGCCCTCTCATGCTCTCTCTCTCTCCCAAATAAATAAATAAAAAATCTTTTAAAAAAATAACAGAAAATTTAATTACCATTTTAAACCAATCAGCTCAAACATATCACAAGGCACAAATAACTACAGATAAAGGAAATAGATACTCAATTCAATATTACAAAATACCTGTAATGGATTTTTTGGAGGGATTCTTTTCTTTCTAATTCTCTATCTAGTCCCCATTATTTGCTTCAAATGTTATTAATTCGATTTTTATTGCTGTTTTTGTATTTATGTTATGTTACAAAAATGCAAAGGCAAAAATTCATTACAAAGCACACATACAATGTTTGCATGACGATTCGATCTGACTGAAAAAAATATATATATACTGTAATATTCCCTGTTAAAGGCCATTCTGTTGACAAGCCCCTCCCCCCCCCACATAGACTCCTACGTGACTTAAATCCAACCTAGCTTTGAGGGATATGATGGACCCACAGCAGGTAAGCAATCACTCAGGCATCAAGGGGCAAAATAATGATCACCAATGCTTTCTGTCAAAAGATTATTGATCAAAAGGGGGAAATGATGAGAGAAAAACTCTCTAAAGCCCTAATATACAAGGAACGCCATTTCAGATTTCTTTCTCAGTCAACACGACTCTTAAGAAACTTTGTTCAAACCAAAAACTTGATTTATGGTCTGCCACCCATGCATTGTACATCTGCTTTGTGAATAAGTAGCCTAAAGGAGAACCATCTTGTCCTTAAGATACTGATCAATGCTGCTGTTCCCGGCATTCCTCTGCGATAAAACTCATGATTCCTGTCTATATGCTAATCTATAAGCTTTTGAGCCTGTACAAGATGTAAAAAAAGTATATAACCCTGTAAAAACTTCTCTAGAACACTTTCTTCCCTGTGAGGAGCATGTTTCCCAGGCAACTGTCCTAACTTGGGCTCAAGAAAACTCTTTCTTACTTTTAGAAATTCTAAAAGGTTTGCTCATTTTGCAAAGAGAGTAGAACCACAGCTCCTTGATTCTCTTGATTGGAATTTGTTCTCAAAAATCCAACCTGGGGCGCCTGGGTGGCTCAATCATTAAGCGTCTGCTTTTGGCTCAGGTCCTGATTCCTGGTTCCTGGGATCGAGCCCCTCCCACGGGCTCCCTGCGCCGGGGGAAGCCTGCTTCTCCCTCTCCCACTCCCCTTGCTTGTGTTCCCTCTCTCGCTGTCTATCAAATAAATAAAATCTTAAAAAAAAAAATCCAACCTTGGCAGAAGGGTCAACTAAATATCTATTTTATTTTTATTTATTATTTATTTTTGGACTAAGAGTGGACCCACGCACACACATCGAAAGGTGGGGTGGGGAGGGGCAGAGGGAGAGTGAGCGAGTCCTAAGCAGGCTCCACACTAAGTGGGGAGCCCAGATCTCACAACTCTTGAGATCTTGACCTAAGCCAAAATGAAGAGTCACCATTGAGCTGCCCGGGCGCCCCCAGGTAAATATCTTTTGCTTTATCTACTATATGCAAACATGAATTGGGATTATTTTGCCATAAAACTTCATTTCACCTAAACTTAGGTTATTACAAGCTGATTGTAAACAGTGCCTTCTGATTAATTCTTATTTTTTAGGTATGCAGCTTTGTAAATTGTTTAGATTTACTTCAGTGTTTTGTTTTGAAATGTAAACAAGCCATTTTTTTTTTTAAAGATTTTATTTATTTATTCATGAGAGACACAGAGAGAGAGAGAGAGAGAGGCAGAGGGAGAAGCAGGCTCCCAAGGAGCAGGGAGCCCGGTGCGGGACTCGATCCCAGGACTCTGGGATCATGACCTGAGCCGAAGGCAGACGCTTAACCATCTGAGCCACCCAGGCGCCCTGTAAACAAGCCATTTTACATATGATTACAAAACGTTTCTTTTTACAGTCACTTGCTACTATAATTACGGTAGTTTTCCATTTATGCAGAGGCTTATTTTAAAATAAATTTATCTAGGAATAAAAGTGAGTCAATTTAAAGAAAGCACTCATTACATAATTGTAACAAGTGGCTCGGAGCTACAATAAACCTAGAGCCGGTGGCAGCCCAACCACCAGAGCTTGGAAAACTGCAGCCAGGACGGTGGTGGGGAGTGTGCAGAAAGGCTACGGAAACCGGAAAGGCCAAGGAGTAAGCTGGGAAGCGTCAACCAAGACCAAATGGAAAAGACCGCCCTGCCCCCAGGCCCAGTGTGGTACAGTGCGCAGGCGCGGCGGTGCGCCTCCGCGGCCTCTGGGGCTCACTGCGCAGGCGCCCGCGCGGCGTGATCGCCGGCGTGGTCCCCATGGAGTTACCTTAGCAGAACCGGCACCTCCGGGAGCATCCGGGATGAGCGGCGCGGAGGCCGACCGCTGGGCGTGGCTGCTGGTGCTTAGCTTCGTGTTTGGGTGCAATGTCCTCAGGATCCTCCTCCCGTCCTTCTCCTCCTTCGTAAGTGGCTGCCTTGCCTTCCAGGGGCCGGTGGGTCGCCGCCTCGGTCCCCGGCGAGCCTGGCGTAGATACGGGGGTCTCAGACTGGCCGCGTGAGGGCGGGGTTCCGCCAGCAGAAGGGTCTTGGTTGGGCCGTTCTGCTTTAAGATTTTTTTTTTTTCAGTTGCTCGCGCCTGAAAGTTGCAAAGCTTTACCCCCAAATCCGGATTTCTGGAGTCTCAGGGAGAAAAAAGAATGACCTGGCAACACTTGGCTACGTTTTCACGTGGCAGCAGCCCGGAGCCTGGAAGTTCTCAGTGCCTCTCTGCCGGCCAGCCACACTTATTTCCGTTAGCTCCTGGTCGGTGGAGGAATCAAGCAGCCCTCGCTGCTAGGGTCCAGAGCCTGGCGCAGCGCGGAGTACAGGGTTTCCCGGAGGCCCTGGCCTTCCCTGCACGTAAGTGCCGGAGTGCCAGCCGTGCCAGGTCCCAGATGGAAGGATCTCAGCCGCCCCCATTTTTGCGGTCGGAGGCAGTGTAGACAGAATCTCGGCACCGTGTCATGCTTCCTGTATTCAAGAGAGCAAAGGGCACCGGGGAGCAGCTCTCTGCCGTGCGTTTTGCGTAGGCATGAGTACATTACCTCGTGTCCAGTTAGTCATGGCTGCTGTAAGATGCGAATGTCATCTCATGCCCCTTTACCTCCCAGAGGAGGAGTCTGACTCAGAGGGTTCAGGTAGTTGCATTGTGTCATCCAGTTAGTGACTGCTAGGGTGGAGACTGATCCTTGGTTTGTGATTCTCCTAGTTTTATCCCTCTGCCTGTTGGAGCATGGATATAGGTTTGGTGGCAGTTTGGAGGTGTGTGTGGGAAACAGGGAGCTGTACCTGGGGAAGGGCGCCCCCTTTATTGCCCACAGCCGGAGCCTGACAGACTGAAAGACCTCAAAGACTGGGTGCACGCCATTGTAGCATTATTGGGGGAAACGCAGTGCTCCCTGCTCTTATCTCCTGATGTAAATTGGTGGTGTGTGTGGGGGAGGGGGTGTTATTTAAGACTAGGCGGAATTTCTACTTTCTTTCTTCTACCAGCATTCATTGAGTGCCTGTTTCGTGTACAATTCTATTCTAGGACTGTACTACCTGCATTGCCCAACTAAGGCATAGGAGATTCTCTTAATCCCTCACTCTCCCCTTGATACTGCTTAGTCTTTAAGATGATGTCCCAAATACTTAGCATTGCATAAAAGACCCTCGAAGAGCTGGCCTCTATCTTTTTTTTTCTTTAAAAAAATGTAAAATATACATAAAATTTACCATTTTAACCATTTTTGGGTGTATAGTTCAGTTGCATTAAATAATTCACATTGTTGTGCAACCATCACGACCATCCATCTCCAGAACTTTTCCATCTTCCTAAACTGAAACTGTCCATTAAACAGTAAGTCCCTCTCCCTCTTTCACCTCAGTCCTGGGAACCACAGTTCTACTTTCTGTCTCTATGAATTTGACTACTCTATCTCATGTAGGTGAAATCATGCGATATGTTTCCTTTTATGCCTGGCTTCTTTTCATTCAGCATAATGCCTTCAGGGTCTGTCCCTGTTGTAGCATGTGTTGGGATTTCCTTCCTTTTTTTTTTTTTTAAATATTTATTTATTTGAGAGAGAGAGAGAGAGCACATGAGAGGGGGGAGGGTCAGAGGGAGAAGCAGACTCCCCGCCGAGCAGGGAGCCCGATGGGGGACTCGATCCCGGGACTCCAGGATCATGACCTGAGCCGAAGGCAGTCACTTAACCAACTGAGCCACTCAGGTGCCCGGGATTTCCTTCCTTTTTAAGGCTTAATAATCTTTCATTGTCTGTGTATACCACATTTTGTTTATCCTTTCATCTTTTGATGGACATTTGGGTTGTTTTCACCTTTTGGCTATTGTGAATAATGCTCCTGGAACACTGGTGTGCAAATACCTGTTCGAGTCTCTGCTTTCAGTACTTTTGGGTAAACATCCAGAAGTGGGATTACTGGATAATATGGTAATTCTATTTTCAACTTTTTGAGAAATTGCCCAGCTGGTTTCTGTAGCAGCTGCACCATTTTGCATCCTCACCAGCAACATACAAGGTTCTAATTTTTCCACAATTTCCAGCACTTGCTATTTTGTTTTGTTTTGTTTTTATAATAGTCATACTCAGTGGCTGCGAGATGGCATCTTATTGTGGTTTTGATTTGCATTTTCCTAATGATTAGTGATGTTGAATATCATTTTATGTGCTTATTGGCCATCTGTATATCTTCTTTGGAGAAATGTCTGTTCAAGTCCTTTGCCCCCTTTTTAATGGCGCATCAGGAGATTGTCTGTAAGGGAAGGGCATCCTCTGTGGACTTAGAGCGGAGAGTGAGTGGGTGTTTGGTTTGTTGTTGTTGGGTGAGGAGTTGTTTACTTAACAGTAAATATTTGTAAATATTTTCTCCTGTTCTATGATTTGCCTGCCCATCTTTCTTGAATATCACCTTGATTCTTCTTATGTACCCCATCCCATTTCACCTCTTGTTGGAGCTATATGAAACTAAATTGCTCAGAGAGGCTGTGTTAGTTTTGTATTCCTCTATGAGTTGCTCATAATTTCCTTTAGTGGAGGGGGAAAGAGGAGTGTGTGTTTGGGGTATGGCAGTGGATATAAGTAGGATCTGTCATCATCAGGCTCCTTAACCAAGCTTCCACCAAACTGGTGCTCAGCAGCTAGGACACACTCACCAAGGGTTATTGCTGCAGTCTAGATGTACGTGAGGCTTGTGTCCCTCGATGTTCCTCATTTAGGTGAAAAAGCACTGGGTTCACAATCTGTGCTGCTTCCCACAGGTTGTATAACCTCTGTAACCTCAAACCAATTAGCTTTCTTGAACCTGTTTCCGCTTGGTTGTAACGCTATTTGTCAGGGTCGTCACATATACTTCCCTTAGCAGAGTACAGCCCCTACTGTTGGTGTTTAGAACAGGGAAAAGTAATGAAGAGATCTGTACCGCCCGGTCACTGGGTTTGTGGTGAGGGTCAGTGTAAAGCCATAAGGAACGCTCAGGTCCTCGGTAGGGTAAGATGCTGTTCTTTCATGACCATTAGAGGCTGCCTGTTCCAGGCCCTTTCGGAGGACCTAAGTGGGAAAGACTCCCGAGAAGAAACAAAGCTTGATTGGGAATGGGCCATGTCCTACGTCAAATATAGCCTTCCTGCCGGTGTTTCAGAAGCATTTAACACGCAGCCAGAAGGAAAGGGGGGGGGGCGCACCATCCCGTTAGTCAGGTAGGCTGGTTGAGGCCCTTGAATAAGTCTCTTAAGTATCACAAGTGCTCTGCCTAGCAAAGCCTTGCAGGGTCCTGCAAGGGGACCTCAGCTGAATACTTGGGTGGAGGTGGGGGCCTGGATGAGGACACCCAGTCCCTGGTGTTGACTTGGTTGGAATTTTCCTGAGAATTCTTAATTCTCTTCAAGCTGGTCACAGGGCATATGGATGAGAGGGCCTAGGTCATTTGACAGGTAAACCAGGACTTTCTTCAGCCAAAGGCAGAGGAAGAGAGAGACAGAAAGGCTCCTGGGAGCACCCGTGCGCCCGGGTGTAGGGAGGCGCACTGCGCAGGCGCCTCGCGCAGGCGCCCCAGGCCTAGCAGTGGCAGAGGACAGAGCGAGGGTCCTGGCGAACAGTGTGCACCGCGCATGCGCCCCGGGGACTCCGGTGGGAGGCGGGGAGTAAGGAGGCGCACTACGCAGGCGCCCCAGGAATGACGTGGCTGAGAGTGGGTGCTGCGCTGGTGTAACAGCCCCTCCCTTCCGGGGCACCCCGCTTTGCAGACCCTGGGCATGGGCCCGGCGCAGGCTGCCCTCTGGGATTTGGCTTGTGGGGTGACTGCCATTTTCATATTTGATGACTTTGAAATTGCCTTCATTTTCTGCTCTAAAAAGTGGCCGCCTCCCTTTCCTTCCAGGGGCCCAGGCCTCTGAGGCCAGGGACAGACACTGCAGGACCTGCCTGCTGCTGTAGGGGCCTTCCTGAGACCCTCCCCCTTTCCAGGGAGCACAGTTGCCTCATGAGTTCCTCCGTGGACCACCAGGCGTGAGGATGGCCAGCGAGTATTAGTTGTGGGGGGAATTGAGGGGGGAATTGAGGGGGCAGTGGGGTTTGAGTGCACATGCGCAGTTGGGGCCTCGTGGATGGGGTCGTCAGGTGCGCGGGACCAGTGCTGTGAGGACGGCTCCAGACTGGGGGCCCTCACGTGGGTCTGCAGCTTCGCAGGAGTCTTGGTCCCTTCCCGGGACGAGCAGTGCGTCGCCAGTATTAGGGACACATCTAAGTGGGCAACCCCAGCATGTCATTCCCCTGGTGCCCCCTGTGTTTCAGGAGGGACGAACCTTTGAGCTTAAATGTCATTATACATTAATTTTCAGATGGGTCTAGTCCAGATGCCAGCCACTGAGTGGTGAAGTGGGGTTTGACTCTTCCCTGGTGTGACTCCAAGTTCAAAACGTAACCTTTTGTCTGTTGGGAAAGGGGTGTGGAACTTGGACAGGATCTGAGGGTGAGTCTGGTAGGACACTCTGAGCTCATGCAGGCTGGCAGCCAGCGTCTGGGGGACAGGGGTGACGAGGAGGTTTGGTTCTATCCTTGTGTTCTCCCCGGGTTCTTCCACTGCCTGTCCTCTTAATAAGAATTTTGAAAAACTTGTTTTCTGCTTGAGAATTCTTCGTGTACCCATCTCCAGGTCTTTGAAAAGCTGTACCCCATGTAGCTTATCTGTTTCTGTCAAGTGGGAGGTTTAATGTCCTGGAAGGTGCTTTTGAATACATAAGGAGGTCAGAGGTTTATTTCTGTTTGAAAAATTAATATTCAGAACACTTAAATTCAAATCTCATTAGATTTTAAAATTTAATTCATAGTTCTAGTACATTTTAACTGTCACTAATAAGGAGGTCTTGGATTAATATTGGTACCTGTTTGCAAGTTTAAACACTTCCAAATATTTTTGTGTACTTGCAGACGTAATTTATTCATTTTCCCTCCCAACTACAGTTGTCTAATTTAACCATAAGATTCTAAACTTCTCCACAAGCTCGTTTTCCCACCCTCACTCACCTTCTAGTTCTGAGTAAACATCTTTGGTCTTTTCAGTTTTTAATTTTTTGTGTGTATTCTCTATACTGTTAAGTAATGTGCTTGTGCTTCTGTTTCTTCTTTTGAAGATCTAGTGTTAAAAGTCAGGTTTATTGTTGTGTAATTTGCATTCAGTGAAATTCACTGTTTCTAGGTAGGTGGGCAGTTTGATGAGTTTTGGGCTACTTATTCGTAGGGTAACCACCATCACAATCAAGATAAGGAATTTATTTTTATTTTTTAAAGATTTTATTTATTTTTCAACAGAGAGAGAGATAGCGAGAGAGGGAACACAAGCAGGGGGAGTGGGAGAGGGAGAAGCAGGCTTCCCGCGGAGCAGGGAGCCCGATGTGGGACTCGATCCCAGGACCCTGGGACCATGACCTGAGCCGAAGGCAGACGCTTAATGACTGAGCCACCCAGGCGCCCAAGATAAGGAATTTATCTATCACCTCAAAAAATCTATTTCCCCACCCTGTGCCTGTTTCTTGATTTATAAAGCTAAGCAACATCTATAGACTCCTGCTCTGAAAGATGATTCTGTGATTTTCTAAAGAAAATTTGGCCCATTCCTATTTTCGTCTCTAGGGTGGATCAGGTTGGAGTATATATGTCCTTTAGTTCACATGTTGGGTAGTGGTCAGGCTAGGGCAGAGGGGACGAAGACAGAGCTGGGTTTGAAGACCCCTACTCTTGGCGTGAAGCCTGCAGGAAGATGCGCAGGGGCAAACACACTGTGCTTTGTGCAGGTGCCCTTGGGAGACCTCTGTCCCCACGAAAAGGGCTTCATTGTGCAGGCGCTAGAGAATGCCACCTCAGAGGGTGTCCCAGGACCTCGCACTTGCGCAGATGCCCCGGGAGACCCGTGATGGGGTGCGGCTCCCCAGCTCTATCTGAAGAGTTGCCCTATTGTGCAGAGGGGACCCCAGGCTGGAGGGACAAACTCAATTATTGTGCATTTGCTATGTGCCAGTACACTTACATACATTATCCCCTTTCATCTTTTTTCATTAATCTGTTTTTAAAATTTTGAAACAAATGTGCAGAAAAGGTACGCATACAATACAAAGAACTGATTTTGTTTCCTGAACCATTTGAAAATAAGTTGTCAACCTGAACCCCTGCATTCCCCGACACATTGCTGGCTAAACAGTGCCTTGTCCACAACACAGCCATCGGGAACCTTCCTACTGACCTGCTCCTGTTTTCACTTGTCCCACTCAGGGTCCTTTGTAGCAAAAGGATCCCAGTCAGTAGTGTGCATTGCACCTACTTGCCCCGTCTCTTCTATCTGGAAGCATTCCTGGTACTTCCTTGACTTGTATGGCTGACCTTTCTGAATATGGCAAGGGCAGTGAGTTTGCAGAATGCTTAGAACATCCCTGCCCGGTGTCACAGAAGAGGTGTTATGTTCTCATTGCATCTCACCTGACGCCGTGGCACGTTCACTCTTCACTTGGGGCGGGTCCGAAGTGGGGGGGGGTGCTGCCCCTCCACCCTCCAACCTCACCGCACCCTTGCTGTTGGGCGATCCTGAGGCATCCTGGCCGGCTGCCGGGCGCCACCTAGTGGCCACTTCCATCTGGTCCCTGGGCTCCAGCCTGCCAGTGTCCCCGCAGTTGTATGTGAGGGTGGGGTGCGTCTGGGGACGGCCCCTGTGGAGTCTGGCTGTCAAAGGCGCCTCTTCACAAAATTTATGTCTGTATTTTTCTACCTGCCCCCAACCGTGAGTTCGCACCCATGCCTCCAATTCTAATTCAACACTGCAGGATTCATTCTGGTTCTTCCATATTTCTAACCCCCTGTTCTGATAGTGAGAAAACTGGCTCCCATTATTTTCAGTGTGTTTACTGGATTGATCAGTGCTTTGTGATTAATCTCGCCTCCCCACTGCCCGCCCCCCCCAATGCCTGCCGGCCCCCTGGGCTCCGTCGCTGGGGTTGGCTAGGTGCTTTCCTCTTGCTCTGCATCCTATGCCAGGCTGCCCTTTGTGGAGGTGCTCATACCCCACGCTTGGCTCTGTCCTCCGTGCCGGGGCGCCCCTCTGTGGGGACGCCCTCCTGATGGTACTAAGGATGAGGTCCTGCTGCTGGGCCACCCCTCCTCACTAGCACCGCCCCTCTTCCTCTGCCTACCCAATTTAGGACTAAATTCTTCAGGAAGGGAAGAGGGCGTGTGGTCCTGTTAACCTGAACGACGCCTGGGACCGGTTTTCACTTTATAATCACAGTTTTACAGTTACAGTGAAAGATACAGACATCTGTGCTGGGGCGATCCATAGGCATGTCTGCGAAGGGAAAAGTGTAATTAGAACGGTGAGTCACATCAGAGGGAGCTTTGGTCTTTGTGGTAGTCGTAGAGGGCAGCGGGACTTGGCCGTGCGGGTAAAGGGCAGCGTGCCCGGCTGGAAGCAGCAGCAGCAGCATGGGGGGGGAGTTGCCCCCCTGTGGGAGGGCACCGACCCCAGCTGTCCCCTCCCCCAGATGTCCAGGCTGCTGCAGAAGGATGCTGAGCAGGAGGCGCAGATGAGAGCAGAGATCCAGGACATGAAGCAGGAGCTCTCCACTGTCAACATGATGGATGAATTCGCCAGATACGCCAGGCTGGAGAGAAAGATCAACAAGATGACGGATAAGCTTAAAACTCATGGTACTGGTTTCAGCTGTAGTGTGGAAAGCTCCATGGGGGCGGACGAATAGAGAAGTCTTTTTATGAAGATTGGTAGAATATATGCTTTGATTCTTAGATGTTCTAAATGTTGAAAGGAACTTTTAAGTTTGTCCAGAAGAAACTCAGTAGTCATGACTACTTTCTCGTTAATTGTGGGTGAACCTTTGCTTCCTGAACACAGAGACAGCATCCTCTTAGCTTGTCTTCTGTTTCTGTAGGTAGACGTTTTCAAATTAAATGCTTCTCTTTCTTTCTTTTTTTTTTCCAAGATTTTATTTGTTTATTTGTCAGAGAGAGAGCGAGCACAAGCAGGGGGAGCTGCAGAGGGAGAAGCAGGCTCCCTGCTGAGCAGAGATCCCGATGGCGGGACTCGATCCCAGGCCCCTGAGATCATGACCTGAGCCGGAGGCAGAGGCTTAACCATCTGAGCCACCCAGGTGCCCTCAACACTTTCCAAGATAAGCCTAGAGAAGGTGTCACAGTGGATGCCCAAGGACTTTTGTGAACACTCTCAAACGTGCCCAGAGTGTCCTTATCCGAGAATAGACTGACAGGGTCAGGATCAGGTCTTGTTCATCGCTGTGGTCGCCATCGTCCCTAACAGTCTCCTGTGATGAAGACATTTCCACCCACGTGCTGGGAACTCGCACAGTGAGACAGCTTTCTCCAGGCTAGTCAGACATACAGAGGGCCCCCCCGGGCCCAGGACAAGCTAGGCTCCCACGTGTGGGTTAGTGTACTGTGTAGACAGGGAGACCTGGGAAGCAAACGTAGTCCTGTTGGTAAGTACACTATAAAAAGAATCTCTGGTGTAGACGGATAGTTTTAAGGGTGTTCAAAATTAAAGCTTCAAATCTTACAGTCTGTGTGTGATTCTATTTTAATGAATGGCATCCTGTGTGGCTTTTAAGAAATTCTGTTTTATATTTTCTAAATATACTGAGCAAATGTTACACAACGCGATTAGAAGATATTTTATAAGCGGAGAATAACATTTCTGTGTATTTGAATATTTTCCTTCTTCTTCAGGACTGATACAATGATTTCATCCTGTTTTTCCTTTCAGTGAAAGCTCGGACAGCTCAGTTGGCCAAGATAAAATGGGTTGTAAGTGTTGCCTTCTATGTATTGCAAGTAAGTGTACTATTGTGTCACCTGGGGTCTTTAAAGTTGATAATGGACTGTCCTCCGGGGCTCTGTGGCCCCCAGAATCCAGGTCTGAGAGTTCAGGCTTTTCCACTTTCTGCGGCTGCGCTCTCTGGCTGGTACAGGACCAAATGCTGTGCGTTTATTTTATTTTATTTTATTTTTTAAAGATTTTATTTATTTATTCATGTGAGAGAGAGAGAGGCAGAGGGAGAAGCAGACTTCCGGCTGAGCAGGGAGCCCGATGCGGGACTCGATCCCAGGACCCTGGGATCATGACCTGAGCCGAAGGCAGACGCTTAACAACTGAGCCACCCAGGCGCCCCGAATGCTGTGCGTTTATAAGTTAGACTGAAAGAAAGCCTCTCTCTCTCTCTGGTTTTAAGTTGAAGTACAGTTAACGTGCAGTGTCCTGTTAGTTTCAGGTGTGCGACACAATGAATCAGCAGTTCTCTACATTGCTCAGTGCTCGCCATGATAAGTGTAATCACCTTCCCTCACTGGGCACCATGACTACGATATTACTGACTACATTCCCTCTGCTGTACTTTTCATCTCCATGACTTACTTATTTTGGAACTGGAAGTTTGTATCTCTTAATCTCCTTTATCTACTATCCCTCTACTCTTCCCTCTGGCAACCATCAGTTTATTCTCTGTATTTATAGGTCTGCTTTTTGTTTATTCGTTTGGTTTTTTAGATTCCACATATGAGTGAAATAATACGGTATTTGTCTTCCTCTCTCTGACTTATTTCACATAGCATTATACCTTCTAGATCCATCCATGTTACAAACAGCAGGATCTCATCCCTTTTAGTGGCTGAGTAGTATTCCACTGTGTGTGTGTGTATGTGTGTAAATGTTTATAAATCCACCACCTCATCTTTATCCATCCGTCGATGGACACTTGGGCTGCTTCCATATCCTGGCTACTGTGAATAATGCTGCAGTAAACATAGGGGTGCATGTAGCTTTTCAAATGAGTGTTTTTGTTTTCTTTGGGCAAACACTCAGTAGGAGAATGACTGGGTCCTATGGTATTTCTATTTTTAACTTTGTGAGGAACCTCCGTACTGTTTCCACAGGGGCTGCACCAGCTTGCATTCCCACCAGCAGTGCACGAGGGTTCCAAGAAAGTCTCCTGAGTTGTGAAACATGGGGGTTTTTTAGCACACGAATGCTGGGGTAGCTTCTCTGGGGCTCTTTCATATTGCCTTTATTCCAGTGCAGTCTGGGGAGCCTGCGGGGAAGTGAGAGCAGCTTTTTTAGACGTTGTATTTTCTAAGGTGGTCGGTTTGGGTCATTGCTTGTTGCGTGGCATGCAGACATGGGAAGTGCTGCTCACTGTCCAGGTGGGGACCCCCCTGCTCATTAGAGTCCAGCGCTGTGGTTCCCAGCTGTCCTGTGTGGGGTACGAGAGCTCCCATGGAGCTGTTCCTGCTGCTGCTTTCCTCATGGGCACGCTGTGTCCATGCTAGTGGCTGCCACCAGTGGCTCTGGGTTTCCACGCTACGTGTGGTTCTCACTGCGCTAAAGGCCTCGAGCCGGCCCGCGAGCCTGGGCCGTCTGGGTGCATTGAAGTACGCTCTCCCTGAGGCCCTGTCACTCTGACGCGGGTTGGGTGTCCCGGGGGCGGGATTGAAGCCAGACTCCCTCTGTTAAGTCTGCTCATGTGAGTGGCTTATCCAAGGCCACAGGGTGGGGGAAGACAGCGGAAGGGAGGCTGCTTCGCTGCCACCATTTAGACTCACGGGGCCCCCTCCACACGCAGATGCCAGCACTGTGAGGGGGGGCGGTGGAGAACAGACTAGTGTTTCAGGGATCATAGAGGCATGAGATTGCTTTTGTCACTAATCAGGTGTACTTATCGTAGGCTACCCACTTGAGGGAAGTGCTCAGTGAGAAAAGAATACCTTTGTTATAGGAGACCTTGGTTAATTTCTCAGCTAATTTAATAGCGTATATCTATTATTCAGATTAAAACAGTAAAATAGCAATTCACTAAGAAGGCTACCCCACTTGGCAGCAGTGTGTTCTAGGTGTCCTGGGAACTAGTCTCTATTTATTTATTTATTTTTAAAGATTTTATTTATTTGACAGGTACAGCGAGAGAGGGAACACAAGCAGGGGGAGAGGGAGAAGCAGGCTTCCCGCTGAGCAGGGAGCCTGACGTGGGGCTTGATCCAGGACCCTGGGATCATGACCCGAGCTGAAGGCAGACGCTTAATGACTGAGCCACCCAGGCACCCTGTGAACTAGTCTTTAATTAAACAGACACTCTCTTTCGGGGTGCCAGCAAATTAGTGACTGTCGGGATGTGTCTGTGTCCTGCAAGGACTGGATTGGTGGGGCTTGAAGTCATCAGTTTGGAGAGTTTCCTTAGTGTGTTTGCCCGTCTCTCCTCCTTGCGTTACTGGGTATGTGGCCGGCAGGTTGTTGCACTCACCAGCACTGTCTTCGCAGGCTGCCCTGATGGTGTCGCTCATCTGGAAGTATTACTCTGTCCCCGTGGCTGTGGTACCGAGCAAGTGGATCACTCCGCTAGACCGCCTGGTAGCATTTCCTACTAGAGTAGCAGGTAAGAGTTTTCTGGAAACCAGAGCAGAAGAATACGGATAGGCTTCTGTAGACGTGTGGGGTACAAGGTGAAGGAACCCAAGCTCATCCATTGACTAGTGAGCAGTACTTTGTGTCTTGGCCTCGCACAAGGCTCACAGTGAAGAAACAGGTCTAGAGAGGTTACTTACCTTGTCCAGTGTCACTGAAATGTTAAGTAGCAGAGCTGAAGTTCACCCTGGATCTGCTTACAGAATGTCAGCCCATACCTTGTCTGTTATCCTGTTCATTGAAACCCTGATCTCTAGTTCCTAGGTTCTGTGACCTCTCTTCATTTCTTTTGCTTGGCCTCTTTCCAGCATGTACTGCTATTGGTTATTCTTTTATTTTTGAAAGGTAATAATATCCTTTGGGTGTTAAAAGTAGTACATATTGGGTGCCTGGGTGGCTCAGTCGGTTAAGCGGCTGCCTTCGGCTCAGGTCATGATCTCAGGGTCCTGGGATCGAGTCCCGCGTTGGGCTCCCTGCTTGGGGGGAGCCTGCTTCTCCCTCTCCTCCTTGCTCATGCTCTCTCTCTCTCTCTCTCAAATAAATAAATAAAATGTTTAAAAAAAAAAAAGTGGTACATATCATTGTAGAATGATTAGAGATATAAGAACAATTTAAAAACATCTCACAAGCTGTAGATAACCTCTCTGTGATATGTTTTTCCACTTTTTTTCTATTTATTTTATACAACTAAGATCATCTGGCAGATACAGTTTTAGACCACTTTTTACTTTATATTGTAAACCCTTTCCCATGACATTAAACTTTTTAAGAAATTTTGAATAACTGCTCTTCATTGGGATAAATCATGATTTACTAATTCCCCTGATAAAAGATACGTATTTAGGTCCTAATTCCTTACTATGAGGAATAATGCTGCATGCCGCACACATCCCTGTCATTCAGCCTTTGGTTGTGATCTGTTGCTGGAGGTGAGTTACTGAGTGGAGAGGAGTGACTTTCAGAGATCCCAGTTTCACCACGCCCTCCACCCTGCCCCCTCCTCTCCCCACCCAACCTTGTGGGCACCGTGCCCGTGGGCTCTCAGTGCTGCTGAGCAGGACAGCATGAGGACGCCCTTGCGGGCATCTAGCGGGCCGTCAGCCACTCCTGCCGCCTGCCTTCCTGTTTCGTCATTACCAGCTGGGCAAGAAAGGCATGGGCAGGCACTGCTGTCTGTGTTCATAAGGCTTTTTTGAGAAGGAGAAAGTCTTACCGGGCGGTTTTACGGTTTGTTAATGTCATCCATAGCAGTGCACATGTCCAGTAGCTGTTGTGTGTGATTCCTGTTCAGTAAGGAGGGCAGCCCTGGGAATCAGTAGGAGGCCTGCTGAATTTGAATCCAGGAAACACACACCTGGGCTTTCTTAGCCGAGCACTGCTGCAGAAGGGTTGACTTCCTGTGAATTAGGGTAGCAGAGGCGGGGAATGCGGGCGGGGCTGTTGGCCTGCTCTTACGGGGAGCTTCTTTATTTCCAGGTGGCGTTGGGATTACCTGCTGGATTTTAGTCTGTAACAAGGTGGTGGCGATCATGCTTCACCCTTTCAGCTGAAAGAAGACAGTTGCAACTAGGACATTTTAGAGAGTGGATTTCCACTGAGTAGGTCACAAATCTGATTTATACTTTTTTTTTTTTTTAAGGAAACAAAAGCACACAGGTTAGTTTTTTTGTTGAATGTGTTTGTTCTTGGATTTTATATGAGATACGAGAGTCACGATTTTGTACACTTGTCACCGAGCTGGAAGGCCAGGCTCCCTCACGTGTGACCTGGCCAGCAAGTCCCGGGTTTGTTACAAGGAGGGGCCTTAGCGGCACGTTACTGGGGGTGTGCGCCATTGGCGTACTTCAGAGGTCACATTGCCAACTGGAAAGTCAAAATTTTCTAACTTAAGTACTTTAAAAAGACTTAGCACTATTTTTGATCCAGATTAGAAAGCGATTTAATTGTAATACCACTACCAGAGTTTGAAGTCTCCCGTAGTCCTACTAAAAGAGTAACACTAATTGACATTGCTTGTGTGGTTTTCATCCTCTGTTTAAAAGGTCATATGCGAGCCTGCGTTATAGTAGTATCTACTTGTTTGAAGTTGTTAACTTTTCATTACTGTGTTTTGTAAATGTATTCATGAGATCATAATGCATTGTTTTATGCTTGAATTGTGTTTTATATTTAAAGCATTTCAAATGAAGTGTGTTTTATAAGCATTTACTATTTATGCTCTGTAGAATGGAACAAAGTTAAAAAACAAACTAGGAATTCTGATTAAATTAAAATGAGTGGATACATTTTTTAAAACACTTTTTTTTACTGTTGTGTTGCTTTTTTTTTGAATTCTAAATGAGAGATAACATAATATTAGTTTCAAGACTACAACGTAGTGATTTGATATGTGTATACACTGTGAAATGATCACCACAGTTAGTCTGGTTTCCCCATGTAAAACACACTTTCATAATTAAAATTTTTGCAAGGGCTTTTGTGACTGTTTTTCCTTACAGTCCGTTTACTTGCTATGACCAATTTGTAACTGTGACAAGTGATGAAGGACTTTAACTGTTAACTTTGGTTGGCCACAGCCCCGTAAAGCTAAGTTCTATCACTGGTTTTCAAAAGGTCACATTTGTATTCTTGAGTTCCCTAGCGATCTAATAAGCAGCTCGTTGTTAATTCCACGACTTGTACTAGAGAAAGAGTGCTGTGGTGCTTTAGTTCATCGTCGTCAGCGGGGTTCCTGGCTCTTCATTCAGACGTCCCCAGCCCAGGTTGACTTTAAGAGAGAATGTGCAACAGGGATCACGGGAGCACTTAGAGCAAAAGCATCAGAGGGCAGACCTGGGCCACCAAGGCTGGGAGGGCATGGGGAAGCTGCGGGGTCCAGGCGCCTGCTGCCCGCATCAAGGGCCCGGTGTGCGGTGAACACTCGGTGGCCACACACGGCCTGCCTGGGGACATCCTTGGGTCACTACTCTGTATCCAGTCTCCCTGACAAGAGCCTTCTCGATCTCCTAAAGACCCGTTCTTTCAGTTCACACTCAAGACTTGGACAGAGCTCACAGTGGCCAGAGGAGAAGACGCATGGTTAACAGCTGGGGATCTTGCCACATGTGGCAGCAGTTGGCAAGGCCGACGCAAGGGACACGTAAGTGTCCTTCAGGTTTTACATCACTGTAGGTTTTCAAAAATGGTATTTGTTCTTAAATAGATAATAAACATGGTACTGGATTCAAAAGCTACAGAAAGGGATACAGTGGGAGGTAGATCTGACCCTTGACCATCGTGTCACCCCATCTTCTATTACCGGTTTCTTATGATTCTTCCAGCGATATCCCATATGTAAAGGAAAAATTATGTGCATTTCTAAAATAAAAATTTTTTTTAAAAGATTTTTTTTTAAAGATTTTATTTATTTATTTGACAAAGAGAGACACAGAGAGAGAGGGAACACAGGCAGGGGGAGTGGGAGAGGGAGAAGCAGGCTCCCCGCGGAGCAGGGAGCCCGATGCGGGGCTCGATCCCAGGACCCCGGGATCATGACCTGAGCCGAAGTCATACGCTTAACGACTGAGCCACCCAGGCGCCCCAAATTTTTTTAATTATAAAAGTAACACATAAAAAAAATAGTAACTGTTTGCTGTGGTGTTGTTTTTTTTTCAATTCCTACTTGGAAACAAGGAAGCAAAGTCTCCCGTATCCACAGGACTGGGATTGCTGGTGTTAACGTGTGTGCTTTAACTTCTGTTTATGTATGGACAGCGATAGGTTTTGGGTTTCTGTGAAAAAATACTGGATATAGTTTATGGCTTTACATGAAGATAGACACCTGTTTGATTTAATATATCTAAAGTTCTCCTTATGCCAGTTTTGTTTGCTTTACGTGTATGGTAAATCAAGCGGGGGGATCTTTATACACAAACCCGCACAGACATTGTTGTATGGGGTTAATACGCTTCTGTTGCCGCCACAAGGAGGCGTAACGCTAGTCAGCTAGTTCACTCTCCCTTGAGCCGGCCATGCTCTCTGGTGTCCCATGGTTTCTCTTACACAGACACAGCTCTCAGTGGGGGCTCTGTGTGTGTGTGTGTGCTCAGCCTCCCCTGCAATCTGTGTGTGTGTGTGTGTGTGTGTGTGTGTGTGCTGAGTCTCCCCTGCAATCTGTGTGTGTGTGTACTGAGCCTCCCCTGCAATCTGTGTGTGTGTGTGTACTGAGCCTCCCCTGCAATCTGTGTGTGTGCTGAGCCTCCCCTGCAATCTGTGTGTGTGTGTGTACTGAGCCTCCCCTGCAATCTGTGTGTGTGTGTGCTGAGCCTCCCCTGCAATCTGTGTGTGTGCTGAGCCTCCCCTGCATATCTGTGTGTGTGTGTGCTGAGCCTCCCCTGCAATAAGTGCGTGCTGAGCCCCCCTTGCAACGTGTGAAGCCCTCTCTTAATCATCTTAGATGATAGTGATTTCTTTTTTCTTCCTGTCCTCGTTGAACACCTTACATAGTATCTCTGTGACTGATTTGTCAACCAGTTTTGTATTGATGTGGGGTGTCTGCTGTTGTGTGGTTTTGTTCCTAATGTTTTAGATGCTTTTGTGTGCATGTGTGATAAAGGGTTTTTAGTGATGCTACAAGTGCCTTTTGTGCCAGAGACTGTCCCTTAGGCTTTTTTATTCCCTTCCCAGCATGTCTTAAGTCAGTACCCAGGAATATTTAACTTAAAAAAGAAAATCACATAATGGCTTTCCACTAGGACCATGTAAGTCTTTCCCAGGGAGTATCTTTTCTTCATAATTGAGGTGTTACCAATGAACAGTTACTAGAATTTTCTAGGATGCTCTTCTCTCTAAGTCCTTCACAACAGAGTCCTTTGGTGGTGTTGGCAGATTCAAAACTGTGTGTGTTGCTGGTTTGCACACTAGTGTGGATGCCATCCTCTTTTGGGGCTCTCTTCTTGTTTGTGTGGGTTAGCTTTTCTGCTTGCATATTTGGCATGTAAAGAGTATGCATCCCTCTTTTTATTTTTTTTAATTTTACTTTATTATGTTATGTTAGTCACCATACAATACATCATTAGTTTTTGATGTCGTGATCCACGATCCATTGTTTTCGTATAACACCCAGTGCTCCATGCAGTACGTGCCTTCCTTAATACCCATCACCAGGCTAACCCATCCCCCCACCCC